AGACATTTGGTTAATTCGGTGCAATGAATGTGTTGATTACGGATTGGTAATATGGATGATGCAATTGGACTATGATTTTAGTTAGGAGATGTATTGGATTGTAATTTACGTGTAATATTGTGTATTATGTTTTTTATGGTTTTAATTGTATACTGTGCACTGTATATTTTGTTGTAAACCGCGTTGAGTCGCCAGTTAGGCTGAGAAACGGCGGTATACAAGGACAGTAAATAAATAAATAAATAAATAAATAAATAACACTGATGTTGTGCTATGCTAATAATGTAATATATTGTATGTCGCTCTTAATACAATATCATAAATATATATTTTATATTACATGTAATACTACTAATAAATTTAAAATATAATGCTATAGTACAATATAGTAAGATGTAACACTGATATTGTGCTATGCTAATAATGTAATATATTGTATGTACAGATATCTTGTAAGCTGCTCTGAGTCCCCTTCGGGGTGAGAAGGGCAGCATATAAATGCTGTAAATAAATAAATAAAATTACTGTTATGAAGTAGCAACGAAAATAATTTTATGGTTGGGGGGTCACCACAACATGAGGAACTGTATTAGGGAAGTTGGAAACACTGCCCTATAGGATCTCCCCCAAGTCTATGTTGGTATTAAAGTTACCAGTCTTCTTTATTTTTTAAAGCCTCATACTGCTGGAATACCAGCGACCTGGTCAGAACAGAGGAGACTATAAGCCAAATCAAAATGATGGAAGTTGCAGTCCAACCCATCCAGGTGGGCCGAGAATGCTGGAGGGGATCCCCAGTAATCCGCCTTCTCAACGCTCGTCCTACTACGCAGCTTCCACAGCCTCTGTGCCGCGTTGCGCATGCGCGGTCTCTCTTCTGTACTACAAGCCCCGACAGGCAGCGCATTCCGGCCAAGGCCAATAGCGGACATGAACTTTTTCAAAAAAAGAAAAAAAACCTAAAGTCTTAATTTGGAGATAAGTATATCGAGTTGGTCGTAGCTGTCTCTCCTCCAACTTCCACAAAGGCAGCAAAAAAAATGGACCATGGACTTTTCTACTCCGCGCGCCAGCTCTTAAAGTACTGGTGAGGCCCACGCGCCTTTCCCGGCCTGTCAGTTAGAAGGCGCGCGAGCTCGGTTCGCGCTTCTCTCGCTCTCCCACGCCATTCGCTGCTTGGCCCTCTGAGTCCTGTCAATCAAGGTAAACCCTCCTCCTTTTTTCCCTTCAGCCTGTCAACAAGAGAGCGTGCGCAGGCTTTTAAAAAAAAACGACAGTTGGTTGTCAACTCCGCGTGCGCCCCTCCCTCTCTCCGTCCTCGCGCCTGCCTGTTTGCGAGGCTCGCGCCTCCTTGGCCCCGCCCCTCTGCCTCCTCTCTCTGCGTTACGGCCTTGCGCCCGCCGCATTTCCAAGGCGAGGGCCTGCTTAGCCCCGCCCCCTCCTCCCGTTTTCTTCCTCAGTGGGTGTCAGTCTAGGCCTCGCAAAGCTCTGCCCCTTTTCTCCTCCCTTTCAGCTCTCTCTCCCCCCCCCCCCCCCTCCCGTTCCGGCCTCGCGCCTGCCGCGTTTCCAAGGCGAGAGCCGGGCTCGCGCCTGCTTGGCCCCACCCCCTTGTTCCTCTTTCCTTCCTTCCTCCCGGAGTGGGTGTCAGCCTAGGCCTCGGAAGGCCCCGCCTCCTGGCCCTCCTCCGTCCCGCCCTCTCCTTCCCTTCGTCCGGCTGTCAATCAAGCAGGCGGCGGCGGGCGGAGAGAGGGCGAGCGACGCCACAGCCCAGCGGCGGCCATTCGTGGGAAAGAAAATAGGCCGACCCCGCTCCTCCTCCTCCTCCTCCTCCTCCTTCCCAGCTCCGGCCTTCTCCCCGCCGCTTCTCCAGCAGCACCCCGCCCTCCGTCCCTCCCCTCGCCGGGCTTCTCCTCCTCCTCCTCCAGGCCGCGCCTCGGCAAGAGCGTTGATGCAGGATGAGCGGTAGGTAGCCTCGCTGGGCCCGGGCCCGGTTGCAATCCCTCGCCTCGGCCCTGCCTCCGCCCCTCCTCTTCCCTCCTTCTTCCAGTCCCCCTTTCCTTCCCGGGCCCGCCCGCACCCTCCCAGTCCCCTCCCTGGCGCCTCCCTCCTCCTGCCCCCTCGAGCATCCTGGGCCACTCAGTAGCCGGGGATGCTTTAGGGGCAGGAAAAGGAGGAGGAGGAGGGGGAGGGCGGCGGGGGGTGGCCTGCCTGCCTCCCTCCCTCCACCCCTCCCTCCCCCCTCCGCCGCCTCGCGCTCTCCAGGCCACAAACCAATCATACGGCCCCTTTCTGGGTAGGCCGGGTTTCAAACCACGTTTTTAAGGACTCCCTTTTCTGTCTCGCCCCTCCCCCCCCCCATGAATGATATGTGGAAACCATGCGTTCATTTGTTTTCCAAACCCGTTTTGCCCTGCAAATGTCACCAATAAAAGTTACAACCGAATAATCATGCCTGCCTCATGGGGTTTGTTTTTGTAGATCCCAAGGAGGACGCGATGCCCTCGGAGGGAGAGAAGTCTCCTGAGGCTGAAAACAACAACAACAACAAGAAAAGCAAAAGTGGAGCCTCTCAGGTAAAATTCAAGCCTGGGGTTGGGGAGGGAAAAGTGACAGAACAGATTGCACCCCCGCTGTTTAGCTATCAGTATTTATTTAGGAGAGCAATGAGCAATCTGGATAAAATAGTGAAGAGCAGAGACATCACATTGGCAACCAAGATCCGCATAGTTAAAGCAATGGTATTCCCCATAGTAACCCACGGATGTGACACCTGGACCTTAGGGAAGGCTGAGCGAAGGAAGATAGATGCTTTTGAACTGTGGTGTTGGAGGAAAGTTATGAGAGTGCCTTGGACCCGAAAAGATCCAACCAGAGAAGAGCCAACCAGTCCATACTTCAGGAAATAAAGCCTGACTGCTCATTGGAGGGAAGGATATTAAAGGCAAAGATGAAGTACTTTAGCCACATCATGAGAAGAAAGGAAAGCTTAGAGAAGACAATGATGCTGGGGAGAATGAAAAGAAAAAAGAGGAGGGGCCAACCAAGGTTCCAACAGACCTCACTACCTCTGAGGATGATTGCCAAAGTGCAGGCGAAACGTCAGGAGAGAATGCCTCTAGACCATGGCCATACAGCCCGAAAAAAACCTACAACAACCCAAGGGCAAGATGGATGGATGATATCCTTGAAATGACTGGCTTGACTTTGAAGGAACAGGGGATGGCCACGGCCGACAGGGAGCTCTGGCATGGGTTGATCCATGAGGCCACAAAGAGTCAGAAGCGACTGAACGAATAAACAACTATTTTTTTATTTACGATATTTCTACCCTGCCTTTCTCAAACTCGAAGGTGACTCAAGGCGGCTTTACAACATAGGCAGCTATTTAATGCCATTAAAACAATGTAAAAATTACAATAAGCATTTAAAACAGAATTATAGCATACATACATTAAAACCTTTAAAAACATATGAAACCATTACCTTCACTATTAGCTTTGTTGTCCAAAAAACATAGTCTAAGCCAGTGTTTCTCAACCTTCCTGATGCCACGACCCCTTAATGCAGTTCCTCATGTTGTGGTGACCCCCAACCATCAAATTATTTTCATTGCTACTTCATAACGGTGATTTTGCTACTGTTGTGAATCGTCATGTAAATACCTGAAATGCAAGATGTATTTTCATTCACTGGACCAAATTTGGCACAAATATCTAATACGCCCAAATTTGAATACTGGTGGGGTTGGGGGGGTTTTGATTTGTCATTTGGGAGTTGTAGTTGCTGGGATTTATCGTTCACTTACAATCAAAGAGCGTTCTGAACTCCACCAACAATGGAATTGAACCAAATTTGGCACACAGAACTCCCATGACCAACAGCAAACACTGGAACGGTTTGGTGGGCATTGACCTTGAGTTGTGGAGTTGTAGTTCACATCCAGAGAACACTGTGGACTCAAACAATGATGGATCTGGACCAAACGTGTTACAAATACTCAATATGCCCAAATATGAACACTGGTGGAGTTTGATGAAAATAGACCTAGCCATTTGGGAGTTGTAGTTGCTGGAATTTATAGTTCACCGACAAAGAGCATTCTGAACTCCAACAATAGAACTGGGCCAAACTTCCCACACAGAACCCCCATGACCAACAGAAAATACTGTTGCTGTTTTTTTGTTTTTAGTTATCTTTTTCAAACAGGCTGCAATGAATAATGCTGTAATGCCTTTTGTTTGTCACATTTAAACAGAAAGACAAAGGGAAAAGACCAATAGAGAGGACCAAGAGATGATCATTGGCCTGCATAAAAGCTTCCTCTTATCATTATCTTCCAGCCCACTTTACGTAAGGTTAAGTGTCCTTAAAAATACTGTTTTCTGATGGTCTTTGGCAACCCCTCTGACACCCCCTCACAACCCCCCCTCCCACCAGGGGTCCTGACCCCCAGGTTAAGAAATACTGGTCTAAGCCATTCCAATATTCGATTTCACATAGTACCATGTTTAGCTATTGCACTAGGTTTCCAAAGGCTTGTTCAAAAAGCAATGTTTTCACTTTTCTGCGGAATGTCAGGAGGGAAGGGGCTGATCTAATATCCTTAGGGAGGGAGTTCCACAGCCAAGGGGCCACCACTGAGAAGGCCCTGTCTCGTCCCTGCCAGTTGCACCTGCGAAGAAGGCAGGACCAAGAGCAGGGTGTCCCCAAATGATCTTAAACTCCTAGATGGTTAATTAATTCATGGAATAAATTTGGCAACGAAATATTTTGCCTTGGAGTGTGGCAAAGTTTCCATCTCTGTAAATTTTCAAACAGAGGCTGGATGGACATCTGTTGGGAATGTATTTATTTATTTACTCTTTATACCCCACCTTTCTCTACTGCAAAGGGGACTCAAGGCAGCTTACATAGAGGCAATTATTCAATGCCTTAAAATACATACAATCCCCCCCCCCAAATTAAAACACATTAAACATTTAAAAACATTACATTCCATATTAAAATCATGCTATCCATAGTCGTAGTCCAAGCCATTCCATTTTGTTGTTATTTATCTGTTCAGTCACTTCCAACTCTTCGTGACCTCATGGACCAGCCCATGCCAGAGCTCCCTGTCAACCGTGGCAACCCCCAGCTCCTTCAAGGTCAAGCCATTCACTTCAAGTATACCCTTCATCTATCTTGTCTTTGGTCTGCCCCTCTTCCTTTTTCCTTCCATTTCCCCCACCATCATGCTCTTCTCCATTCTATCCTGTCTTATTATGTGGTCAAAGTTCATCTTTGCCTCTAATATCCTTCCCTTCAGTGAGCAGTTGGGCTTTATTTCCTGGAGTATTGACTGATTTGACCTCCTTGTGGTCCAAGGCACTCTCAGAATTTTCCTCAAACACCACAGTTCAAAAGCGTCTATCTTCCTTTGCTTCTTTTTTGCAGCTCTCACATCCATAGGTATACCATTGCTTTAACTATGCGGATCTTTATTGCCAGTGTGCTCTTCACTATTTTATCGAGATTGGTCATTGCTCTCCTCCCTAGAAGTAAACATCTTCTGGTTTCCTGAGTGCAGTCTGCATCTGCAGTAATCTTCGCGCCAAGAAATACAAAGTTTGTCACTGCCTCCATGTTTTCTCCCTCTTTTTGCCAGTTATCAGTCAGTCTGGTTGCCATCATCTTGGTTTTTTATGTTTAACAACAACCCAGCTTTTTCACTTTCTTCTTTCACCTTGGATATAAGACTCCTCAGCTCCTCCTTGCTTTCAGCCATCAAAGTAGTATCATCTGTATATTTAAGGTTGTTTCTAACTTCAGCCTTGGATTCGTCAAGCCCTGCACATTGCATGATGTGTTCTGGATACAAGTTGAATAGGCTGGGTGAGAGTATACAGCCCTGCTGTCTTCCTTTCCCAATCTTGAACCAGTCTGTTTCGCAGTCTGTTCTAACTGCTGCTACTTGGTCGTTATACAGATTCCTCAGGAAACCGACAAGATGACCTGATATCCCCATACCACTAAGAACTTAGCACAATTTATTTTGATCCACACAGCCAAAGGCTTTAGAATAGCCAATAAAACAAAAATAAGAGTTTTTTCTGAAACTCCCTACCTTTCTCCATTATCAAGTGGATTTTGGCAATTCAGTCTATCATTCCTCTGCCTTTTCTAAATCTGGCTTGTACATTTAGCAACTCTCTCCATGTATTGCTGCAGTCTACCTTGCAGGATCTTGAGCACTACCTTACTGGCATGTGGAATAAGCCGTTCCATAGTCATTCCATATATTCCAGATCTATTAATTACACTGTACTGTTCTCCAAAGGCCTGATCCCACAGCCAAGTTTTTACCTTTCTTCTGAAGGCTAGGAGGGACCTAATGTCATTGGGGAGAGTTCCATAGCTGAGAAGCCACCACTGAGAAGGCCCTGTCTTCCCCACCAGCTAGGCATTGAAGCTGCAAGACCATTAAATGCTAATAAAGGTGGCCATTTGCCACATTCACACTTGCCTCTAGCAGACGAGAGTTCTTTCTCCCACCCTGGACATTCCACAGATATATAAATCTCACTTGCCTAGTTTTCAACAGGCCTCACAACCTCTGAGGATTCCTGACATAGATGTGAACAAAATATCAGGAGAGAATGCTTGTGGAACATGGCCATACAGCCCAGAAAACTCACAGCAACCCAGTGATTACGGCCATGAAAGCCTTCGACAACACAGTGGCTTGATTGTTCCTGGCTGGACAGGATGGCTCTAGGGGTCTCTTCCAACTCTATGATTCTATAAATGCGCTTCTTTTCTTCTTGTATAGGAACCCAAGTGGTTTGAAGACCTTATTTTATTTTCAAGAGCTAGTGCTGTGTGAGAAATTTCATTATTTGGATGTACTTGTCTAGATTGGGGGAAGTTGTTTTCATGCATTCATCAAAGGCCTTCAGATGGTTCAATGGGAGAGGAATCATATAACGAGTGAAGAGTTTTGCAGTTAACGCTTTGGATAGCTGATATTACTCTACAAAGGCCCCATCCACACTGACCATTTAATGCAGTTTCAAAACAAGATTAAAGAAAATAGTTTCACTGTGCAGATGATTACATAGAAACTCCTGGAACCAGTTTGAGGCCTGGATGGTGATCATACAACCCATAGAACAGTGATGTACACTTTCATGTGCTTTTGTTGGAACTGTCTGGTCACCAGAATGTAAAGTTAACTTTGACCAGAATTAAATGCTCAGTGTAGATGGGCATAGTAAGTATACAAATGTCGGTGTATTTAGCTTTCTTATTTCCTAGTATTTTTTGTATTATTTTTTAAATTATTCGCATATTCCATTTACTTTCTACTTTGTTCTTTCTCCCTGTTAGGATTCCCAGCCTTCTCCTCTTGCATTGCTGGCAGCAACATGCAGCAAAATAGGGACTCCTGGCGAGAATCAAGCAACTGGACAACAAATTATAATAGATCCAAGTCAAGCTTTGGTTCAACTTCAGAATCAACCACAACAGTTAGAATTAGTAACAACTCAGCTTGCCGGAAATGCTTGGCAGCTTGTTGCAGCTGCCCCTCCTCCTGCATCAAAAGACAACAATATCCAGCAAACAACTTCTGTCACTTCGACTGCGGCAAGTCCCTCCAATAGCAACAATGGAAATGCATCCCCTACAAAAACAAAAACAAACAATTCTTCTGGAGTAATTCCAGGACAGTTCCAAGTCATACAAGTACAAAATCCAAGCGGTAGTGTTCAGTACCAAGTGATTCCGCAGATTCAGACAGAAGGTCAACAAATTCAGCTAAATCCTGCTAATGCCACAGCTCTGCAAGACTTACAAGGTCAAATTCAGCTCATCCCTGCAGGGAATAATCAAGCTATTCTTGCAACTACAAATAGGACAGGTTCTGGCAATATTATTGCCCAAAACTTGGCAAATCAGACAGTGCCAGTCCAAATCAGGCCTGGTGTTTCTATTCCATTGCAGCTACCTATTGCTGGTACTCAGGCCCAAGTTGTAACATCACTGCCAATAAACATTGGGGGAGTGACTCTAGCATTACCTGTAATCAATGTTGCGGCTGGCAGCAGTTCCGGACAGGTTATCCAGTCCACTGATAGTGGAATTTCCAATGGGAATCAGCTACTATCAACGCCGGTCACAACAGCTTCTGTTAGCACTATGCCAGATTCACCCACCTCCTCTTCTATCTGTACAACCACTGCCTCCACCTCATTAACCAGCAGTGAAACCTTAGTAAGCACTGCAGAGACAGGCCAGTATGCAAGCACAGCAAACAGTTCTGAGCCTAATACTGAAGAACCTCAAACAACCACATCAGAAACAGATAATCAGAACTCTACTCAACTTCAGTCCAATGGATTGCAAAACGTTCAGGATCAGTCAAATTCATTACAGCAGGTGCAAATAGTAGGTCAGCCTATTCTGCAGCAGATACAGCTCCAACAGCCACAGCAACAGATTATTCAGGCTATTTCGCCACAGTCTTTTCAGCTTCAATCAGGGCAAACTATTCAGACCATTCAGCAGCAGTCTTTACAAAACATTCAGCTCCAAGCAATGAGTCCAACCCAAGTGCTCATAAGAGCACCAACTTTAACCCCATCAGGACAGATCAGCTGGCAGACAGTACAGGTCCAAAATCTTCAAAGCCTTTCAAATCTCCAGGTTCAAAATACTGGGTTACCCCAGCAGTTAACCATTACTCCTGTATCATCAAGTGGTGGTACTATTGCTCAGATTGCACCAGTAACTGTTGCTGGTACTCCAATAACATTAAATGCTGCACAGCTTGCTTCAGTGCCTAATCTTCAGACAGTGAGTGTAGCCAATTTGGGTGCTGCTGGTGTTCAAGTACAAGGTGTTCCTGTCACCATTAATGTTGCAGGTAAGTAAACTGTTGAAAATATTTCTTCAGTAGTGTAGCTATAAAAATAAATGTTAAAGCTTTGGCTTCATTGAATGTAGGAATTGAGGATCCTCTGTTCTTTCAAAATTAATTTCTTACATATTGTAAAGGACCGTGGGTAAAATGGGAAAGCTTGGAAATCTATGAATGCAGAGCAGTAAAAAGACTTGAGTTAATTAGGCAAATAAAGAAACTGCATGGATTATATTGTTGCAGGTTACATAGCAGTGTCTGATGTAGGCTTGGTCTATGTTCATCTTCATGGTTTTCACTGAAATGAGTGAATATTAGCTTCTAGCTCTCATAAATTTTAGTTATTTGTGTATGGATTACTGAATGAGCACACTACTTAGGTAATGATTAAAACTCTAGTTAGAACATTTATTATGCAACTAGCCGTCCCCTGCCACGCATTGCTGTGAGCCAGTCTGGTGATCTGGAAGATAAAGTAATGAGAAAGTGCTGGTTTCTAATATATTGTAATTTCTTTATGCTTGTGGGTAAACAGTATTTCTTGTGGTTTCTTTGTCAGTGTTGCTGTAGAGATTGTCTGGTTTGTCTACTCTGGAACGTTCAGCATATAATTGTCCTTTAGGGGTCCCTTTCAAATCTATGATACTATATCTGTGATTTACATGTGTGTGTGTGTGTGTGAATCATATATGGGGCTGGATGGCTCTTTGTCAGTAGTGCACTAATTGTGTTTTTTTGCCCTGATGAAGAGAGTTGGGCTGGATGGCCTTAAGGCAGCATTTCTCAAGCGGAGGGTCAGGACTCCTGGGGGGAGGTCGCGAGGGGGTGTCAGAAGGGTTGCCAAAGACTACCAGAAAACACAATATTTTATGTTGGCCATGGGGGTTCTGTTTTGGAAGTTTGGCCCAATTCTGTCATTGGTGTGGTTCAGAATGCTCTTTGATTGTAGGTAAACTATAAATCCCAGTAACTACAACTCCCAAATGTCAAGGTCTATTTTCCCCAAACTCCATCTGTGTTCATATTTGGGCATATGGAGTATTCATGCCAAGTTTGGTCTAAATTTGTCATTATTTGAGTCCACAGTGCTCTCTGGATGTAGGTGAACTGCAACTCCAAAACTCAAGGTCAATGCCCACCAAACCCTTCACAGTATTTTCTGTGGGTCATGGGAGTTCAGTGTGCCAAGTTTGGTTCAATTCCATTTTTGGTGGAGTTCAGAATGCTCTTTGATTGTAGGTTAACTATAAATCCCAGCAACTATAACTTCCAAATAACAAAATCAATTTTTGAGTGATGGTCACTCCTTGGGAACGTAGGTGTCTTGTGGCCAAATTTGGTGGCAATTAGTCCAGTGGTTTTTGAGTTATTATGTCACTCAAAACAAACAGAGCATGTTTATATATATAGATGAAACAGTGCTCTAATAAAACTTTGTCTGAATTAACATGTACACATTATTTTCATCTGATACTATTCTGATTCTGTTCAGGAGCCCAGAAAAACTATACAATTGCTTATTTGATTCTCCAAGGAGATTTTTCCAACTTTTAAAAAGTCTGCAGAAGCATGAAATGTGTATTTAAAGATGTATGAAATAAAAATATAGTCAAAATTAGTAAGGTCCCCAAGATTGCATGTGGGAGTGTACCTACTGTAAAATACTTGTAGAAAATGTCATTAACAAAAAATAACTGCATTAATGAGATATTAACTAAGTCCCTAATACTTTGATAGTTATTTATAGAATGTTGGTTGAATTTTACTGCTACTATCAAAGAGAACCTGAAAGCCACATTTGTAAATTCTCTGTTTTTTAAGATAAAATAATACTTCTGGTTAATAGAAAATTAGTATGTTTTTTCAGTGCATGAGAGCTATAATGAATCTTACATTTCAGTTTCTGTTTGAACATTTTGATGTTACATTCATTCTTTTTGTTTCTCTTCCTATTTTGCATGCAAAACATTTTTTTGCTTACTGGCCACTAAGTTTTGTTTTCTCTAAATCTAGCAAGTCACAGTTTCCTTGTAAAACATGCTTTTGACATTTCTATCATAAGAGGGATAAGAGAAGGAGGAATCACATGAATTTGAAACTTCATGCATGATTCTTAATAGTGTGACCTTTTTGGCATCTTTCCCTAGAGCTGAAAGCTTACATAATTGTATTTATGAGATTTATATATTACATTCCAGTGACTTGTCAGAATGTATGCCATAATAAAGATGCAGAAGAACAAGTGCTGTATCGTTTCTTCTATTCTTCTTGAAACTCCTCCCAAATATTTCCCCTTTAATGGGACAGGGACCATATTAGGAAGGAAATGAGGAGACATTTAAGGAGAAATGAGTGGGAACTTCCAACAACTTCTTTATGAAGCACTCGCACCTATTTTATAGGAATTCACATTTTACCCTGTTGCATGTAGCTTGCCCCACACATTTAGAGCTGAAATTTATCCATAGGACTGATTTTCCATGGCTTACCACATCTCATTGAACAATCAGATGTGTGCATTTTAGCGAATACCATATTTTCAGTCACAATACTGAGTTTACCTTTTCTGAGGCCTTTGCTCTAATTATACACCTGCATCATAACAGTAGGCAAGCAGTAGCAAAGACTTCTGAAGCTTGTATAGGAGCTATATGCAGTACAATCTCTAGCACTATCTTTTAAACTAAATCGGTGTTTGCTTTTCATCCTCCTGACTCTTAATAAAACATTCCTTCAATATAAGTTTGAATGTGAACATTAGCTGGACGTTTTTTCTTAGTGACTATATCCTGTGGTTGACCTTGGAACAGGGTCTGACAATAAAAGTGGCATGACCATCCCTGTCATCAGGATTGCAGACTAAATTTAAAGACAGGGTATACATACAATATGTGGTGGGAAAGGGAAAAAAGAAAGGTTAGCACCTTCTACAATTAATGTGATGGACACTGGTCCATAGCTTTCTGGAATGGTTGCTGCCAGATGACAGTTTTTCAAGAGTTCAACATCTTTATTAATGACTTAGATGAAGGGTTAGAAGGCATTATCATCAAGTTTGCAGATCACACCAAATTGGGAGGGAAAGCCAATACTCCAGAAGAAAGGAGCAGAATTCAAAACGATCTTAACAAATTAGAGAGATGGGCCAAAACCAACAAAATGAAGTTCAACAGTGACAAATGCAAGATACTTCACTTAGGCAGAAAAAACCAAATACAGAGATACAGAATGGGGGACACCTGGCTCGAGAGCAGTACGTGTGAAAAAGATCTTGGGGTCCTCATGGACAACATGTTAAACATGATCCAACAATGTGATGCAGCAGCAAAAAAAAAAAGCCAATGGGATTTTGGCCTGCATCTATAGGAGTATAGTGTATAGATCCAGAGGAAGTCATGCTACCCCTCTATTCTGCCTTGGTTAGACCACACCTGGAATATTGTGTCCAATTTTGAGCACTGTTGGGACTCAGCCGGTGTTTGAGCCTGAATCGATGATTGTGTTTTCCCCTCCTAATGTTTCTGGGTCTGATTTGGATAGTGAGTCTGATGAGGTGCAAAATGGAGACACTTTGGACAATAATGTTACTGCAGACACACATCAAGAGGGGTCAGGGGAAAGGCTAAGTTCTCATGAGAAAGTTTCTGTCAGAGCAAGGGAAGAAAGTTTACTCACTTCTCCAGGCTCGAGTTTGCAAGATAGCTTGACACCTGCTGGAGGTAATGAGGAGATAGATAAGACCAGTTTCCGTCTTGAAATCAGCCAGAACCGTCGAGAGGTCCAATGTTTATGCAGGTCAGAAAGAATTCGGCAGTTAAGGCCAAAACTGGGGGGAGTAGAAACCAGTTTTTGGGACTTAAATTGGGCCCTTAGATAATCGTCTTCAGATCAGGCATCATTTGGAATCAAGCTCAAGTCTCCTGGAAAATTCCTGTTTCAAGTGGCCTCATCTCTAAGGCTATATCTAGCTTTCCAAGTGGATTAGCAGTGGCTAGTCTGTTCATGGTTTTCTATTGAAGGCTTTTGGTTATTCACTGCATTTGGATTATTTCTGCAAGCTTTTTGGGACATTGTTATTATTCCTATGTTTGGACACTGTTTATATTGCTGCTCTATTTGGCTTTTTTTTTGCTTTTGGACTTCTACCTATTTTATAATCATCTCTTTTATTGGCTCCAGTTATTCTTCAATAAAAAAGGACTCTTCCTTCATTCAAGGTGTGGTGTGATTAATGATTAGAGGCCCCTTTTTCTGCTCTAGTGTGCAACAAACACCATAATTGAAGAGAGATATTGACAAGCTGGAATATGTCCAGAGGAGGGCGACTAAAATGATCAAGGGTCTGGAGAACAAGCCCTATGAGGAGCAGCTTAAAGAGCTGGGCATGTTTAGCCTAAAGAAGAGAAGGCAGAGAGGAGACATCATAGCTATGTATAAATATGTGAGAGGAAGCCATGGGGAGGAGGGAGCAAGCTTGTTTTCTGCTGCCCTGGAGACTAGGACGCGGAACAATGGCTTCAAACTACAAGAAAGGAGAGTCTATCTGAACATTAGGAAGAACTTCCTGACTGAGAGCCATTCAGCAGTGGAACTTTCTGCCTCCAAATGTGCTGGAGGCTCCTTTGGAAGCTTTTAAACAGAGGCTGGATGGCCATCTGTCGGAGGTGCTTTGAATTTGATTTTCCTGCTTCTTGGCAGGGGGTTGGACTGGATAGCCCATGAGGTCTCTTCCAACTCTATGCTTCTGTGAGTTGATAGAGGGCCAAAAGCAACTGACCGTTCCCAGCAGATGTGGTGGATTAGCCCTCCAGACATAATAGTCTATGTACTGTGCTCTGTGCAAAAACTTACTATTTTATTTGCTCTTGCGTTAATTGTTTTTAAGACTATTCATTGATTAAATAGAGACAGATAAACGAATGTGGTATAGATCATCCTGCATAATTGGCAAACCACTAGTTTTATTTTATCGTTTTTAGTGATGCATTGTAAAAAAAGGTCAATTA